CATGCTAATCCTGCTGGTTTATCTTAATGAGTTTTCCTGTTGGACTAAATAATATTGACGTCTTATTGATAAAATAATGATGTGTTTTCTTCAAATTTAAACTCTGATAAAATATACTTTATGTTTCAGTCTTTAATTCTGAAACAGCTTCAAATTATTTTGAAATAAATATTACTTTTAATTTGCAGAATGATAAATTATTAAGTATCTCTGTGATATCACTTTATTTTACTTTATCTATATTTATAATCTGTATTTCATTTTTCAATAATTTCTAATATTTTATTGATTACAAAGATCCTATTTGATCTAGTATAGCTTCTTACACAAACAACATTTTTAAAGCACTCAAAACATATATCTACATTAATATTTTTTGATAATTTAAGCCATTTATTAATTCCTCAGAGACAGTATTTTATCAAAATTAGATTTTTTCATTAGATAAAAAAAAATATTGTACATTTTGACTAGCCAATATTATAATTTATAAATATTATGATAATATGGCAAACCATTACATTTTCATGATTTACATGTAGAAGTAATGTAGAAAGTTCATTTTTATCAAAGAAAAAATAATAATATTTATTGAAAATTTCTAAATACTTGTTTTAAATTCAAACAATTTTTTTTTTCTTATTCTCTCCCTTCTTATCAATACAACAAGAAAAACATTAATTTTTATAATGCAGTAAGTTAAGTGTTTGTTTTTTTTTAAAAAGAATACAACTTACTACTTTTAATTTCAATCATAATTCATGAAAATTTTTGCTTTACTTAACCTTTGTAGAGAGAGTTAGTCGGATATGGTGCTATCACGATGTAGTGGAGAATAAACATGAGAAATTTTTAAAGAATTTTCCCACACATTTTTCTTGTTTCCGTATTGGAAAAAATTTTTTTAAACAGTTATGTCTAGTAAAGAAAAAATCTTTCTTCATTGTCACATAATTCCTTTTTATGTGAATTTTTTTCGCGGTAATTTTTGGTTAAAACTTTTTTGTGGATATCGATGTTGTTCTCCAGTACCACATGATCGCCCTTGACGGGTATATCAGTTGATCACTGCAGAGTGGTTAATATAGTAAGAGTATCCAAAAACAATTACTGCACAAATATTATTTCATAAGTTTGCCAGAGATCACTATTTCATTTAATGGTTTTGTTAGTAGATAAAATAAATTTAGTGTATATTTATAAAATAAACTGATTTCTATAAATTAAGGGAGGGAAAAAGATGTGGAGCAAGGATTAGTTTTTTTAGGCTAGACATATTGTCTACAGCACTTACATAAGGGCAAATAATGGATTCCAGAATTTCATTCCTATATCTTCAGGATGTCTTTTGGATGCATTTAGAAATCAGTGCATCCACCTAATGATATATCATTCCAAACCACTGATGTTATTTTCACAGATGTTACAGTGTTTGTAACATGTACCTTATCTTTACCAGATCAGAACAAAGCTTGAATCACCCTAGAACATGTGTTTTGACTCACCTCTTCACTGGTTTTCAATCCAACTGATATGAAGTCATGCCCAATTCAAACATTCCATTCTGTTTGAATTAGGGTTAAAAAAGAGGCATAGAAACTTCTGGTTGTCTAGCATACAGACTGGTGAAGTCATCAGCACATAGTGGAGGCAGATATCAGCTTACCTGTTGCCACGGGTAGATTATAGCTGTGTGAAGATAGATGGGTTGTTTCTCTGAGCCGTGAATGTTACAAAAATTGTAATTCAAGGCTTTCTTTGGCTATATCTTTGGGAAGCTAAATGTGTACTCTGAAATTTCATCCATAATATGTGAAAAAAAAAAGACTAATATGCTATATCCATCTAACTTTGGCCTGCCTCCAGTCTTCCGATGTCTCTCCATTGAAATTCATCTTAAAGATGTTATCTTGATAGAAGTATCAATAAATCTACAATTCCAGAAAGTGTATTTGCACAACCAGAACACTAATTAAAAAACGTCTCTATAATAGCCCTTTTTATAATGAATTCATTTGCAGAAATCTTACTAATGTCATTTATTTAAAGATTTTTGTTGAAAAATCTTTAAATAAATGACATTTTTGTTTTAAATAAATGAATTTTTGTTTAAAGAAAGTTTATTGTATTTTCAATGTTTTGTTAAAAAATAAATAATTATACTTTTTTATCGTTTTCCTTAAATATGTAATATAATATAATATAAATATTAAAACTGATTAAAGTATTAATGGAAAATTGCTTTTGACCACTTATTCTAACCTCTTCAGTTTACATTGCATTCAAAATTAAAGGAGAATTTGGATATTTAAGTTTTAAGTATTATGCATTTTAAAACTATACAGTACTTTTTCTAATTAGTTGAAAATAAATTATTTGCAAAAATTAATTTATAAAATATTGGCAAGTAGCATTAACTGAAGAAGTAAGCAAAAGTAATTTTTTAATTACTTTAATTAAAGTTATACTTACTTAACATTGCTTTGTCATATTTGTATAGTAATAATTTATATATCTGTTAATGTCAACAAATTTAAATCATTTAAAAAACCATAATATATTTCCATTTATGGTTAGTAAGTGGTGTCTTTTGTAAAATAATTTTCATTCTTAAATAATGAAAACTCTGAATAAATCACTTTTTTAAAGTCAAAATATAATCTTTAAAATGATAAAAATTTTGTCAAATATATACTTCTTATTTTACATGTATTCATGAGTATTCAAATTTGCTCAATTAATTAATTTATTAGACAAAAATCCAGAAGTGTCATAGAATTTTCTTTTATTTTTTTTCCCTTCTCCTTACTTTTATTCATATAGTAATTAAGCTAATAGTAATTTAAGTCCCTAATTTAAACAATATAAAAATATAACATTTATTTTAGAATCAAGAATATTACTTGTGATCACCTATTAATTCACTATTCATTCATACAAATCAGTACCTTTTAGTCAATACTTTTATTAAAGTTTTAGTGCAATTTTCAGGTAATATTCATTGTTTTCATTATAATTTAATGAGATTATATCTACATGAGTATTTGTTTGTTTGAATGTACATATTTTATTTAAAGACAAGAACATTAAATATAACAATTAAAAAAAATCTCCTGTTATAAATCCAAAGCTAACTATTTTGTGAAAATTTGTCACAATGGTACTTTTATACACTAAATTCATCTATTGTAATGTAAATTATACTTCATGATAAAATACCCGCAAAAGTATTTTTATTGTAACATTTTAAACAGACTGCCTTCATCAGAAAATATTTATACATAAAATAAATAAGTAGAACAAACAATTATATTGTTCTATAAATTATTTGTTCTATTTATTTCATATTTTGTATGGAAGTTGTTGTCTCTGATGAAGGCAATACATTGAAATTGTTCAAACTTAAAAAGAAAAACCTTTGTTTTTTGTTGCTTTTCTATCTTAGTGTAATTTTATAAACTGAAGTAAAGGTCATGAATAATATTATCAATATTTAATTGTATGTTAAAAATTGTACTTTGAAAATCTGAAATATAAACTTCAAGTTTAGACACAACCATATGGACAAAAGTACCTTTCTAAGGAATAATACTCTAATAATACTACATTAATGCAGTAATGAAAAGCAAACAACAGAACATTTTAATCTGTAAAAATTTAATTTTATACATTAAATATCAGGAATAAAACCAAATTAAAATATTTCATCAATAAATTCCAGATAAATTTTGTGTTTAAATATCGTAAAAATCATTAGATATACAAATCTATGCAAAGAACCTAACTTTATATGAATAGAGAAAATGAAAAATTAAACATCTGAAGAAGTTTTCTTCTTTGTTTTCTTTAATTAGAATAAAGTACATGTTATAATAAAAAGTTCATATAATATTTAAATTGAAATATATTGCTGCTTAGTTGTTAGCATGCATTATAATATACAGTCGACCCCCTATAACACTGTCTATTATTCTGTTTTATATGAATTCCATGTTGTACAAGTCACTTAGATTTTACAAATATGTGTGCCAGGCTGTGAACAGCTCACATATTTGTAAAATCTAAGTGACTTGTACAACATGGAATTCATATAAAACGGAATAATCGACAGTATTATAGGGGGTCGACTGTACTGTTAATAAACTGGAACTATTCAATTAACAATGATAAGCACAAAATAACACCTTTCTTAGTAATTCCTGCAATGCTTATTCTGAATTACAAATGTTTTTGGCTGCATTTAGAAGCCTTCTTCAAGTAAAAAGCCATTTCATTTATCAGACATTCAAAAGTTTTTCGAATGTCTATAAAGGTAACATTTCTGGAATAAGTAAGAAAGGTATTATTTTGTGAACATCAGTGTTATAACATACTAATGGGAATGCACTTACCATCTTTCACTCATGAATTCTTCAATTATATTCCTGATTTTTATCAAAGTGTATAAATATAGACAGTTGAATACATTCTGTCCAAAATGACAATTTTAAATATACAGAGTGTAGACAAAAACATGGTGCAATGTTTTTGTCTACACCCTGTTATACAGAAAACTTTTAAATTCAAGCATCATGTAATCTGTATCTTGCATTGTGGCATACATTATACTCATTTCCATAAAAGCAAACTATAATTTATAATTATGCTATTACAAGATTCTTGTGAATTTGCATTATTATAACTGCATATTCACAATACTTTTAAGATTATTGTACAGGAAGAAAACAAACTTCTATACATTATTCATCCTTGTATCATAATTATTAAATTCACTCATTTGTTAATTTAAATTATTTTATAAGAATTATTTACTTTTTACTTTATTTTAGGAAATATTTTTTTCATAGTCAACAATAAGAAATAAATAAATGATACAGACATTAATAATAAGAAATTAAGGTTGGTTGTATTATTTAATGGTACAAGGGCCTCCTGGGCCAAACTGCATCAAGCAACTTTGTAAATTTAAAATTACTTTAGATATTTCAAATATATTAATTTATTACTATATTATACATTGTATTAATATATGAAAAAATATAATAAAAGCAATACCTGATAGTGCCGGTCGGTGAAGGAACGGGACTAATGAAATTTGATTCTAGTTCTGGTATGTTGATTTTTAATGGTGCCATAGATTTGTGCCTTGGGGATTCAGGGAGGTGAGGATGGACTGGTGAATTGGTCTCGTCAACCAAAGATTGGAACATTATTTTTATATTAGTACTTGGAAATCGGAACATACAACTATAAAAGAGAAAAACAACAAAGATAAAAGAATTGAATATTTAAAAATTAATATATTAATGAAATTGTATGTATTAAATTAAATCATACAAAGTCATATTTTACTATAATAAACTTCTAATATAAAAATCTTTAATTAAAAATTTACTCAGAAATTTGCATTCTGAAATTTTACAAATAATTACTGTATTATGAAAGAAATACAAAAGTGACATCATTGAAGTTAATGCTATCCTTACAACTATTACCATGCTACGAATATTACATAAATAACTGATAATTATTTTGACTTATTTTTTGAAATGAATTTGATATAAAAACTACCAAATAACATAAAATAAAATTGCTATTTATAAAACTAAACTAGAAAAATATAGAATTATAAATTAATAGCAGTATGTCATATAACACAAAATGTGGTGTCCTTACGTTCCTCTTAAATACACTAAACTAGTGATAGAAGACCTTTTCCGAAGGTTGATCAAAATTGAATTTGAAATATCAAATTGCAAATTGCATATCAAACATTTAATTTGAATAATTAAAAAGTAACATAATATGCTTACAAATTTTACTTTATGTAACTTTTTAATTTACATCAGAAAAACAATAATAAATTCTGTATAAGAGATAAGAAAATAATGTGATTATAATGAGACCAAATGTTTTGTTGAATGTAAATCTGTTGCTGTTTATTCAATATAATTTTCCTATAACTCATTTTGGATATAATTTTTCTACTGAGATTCATAATTAGTGCCCTTTAAGACTTACAACAGCTTTAGGATCTTGTTTTTATATTATATATAAAAAAATATTTGAAAGATTTTAAAACTTAGCATAATTTATAAAAACCTAATACAGTACTTTCTAAACATTCAATACAGATACCTTAAAATTGTTCACAGGAATGATGACATTTGTTGTCCTTTGGTACCGATTCTTTTTGGAGGCAAACAGACAAATAATAGTGTGCTGACATGCAATTAACACGAAACCCAAGTAAATAGAAAACAGGATGTGTAACATGACTAACATTTTCATGGAAACATAAGCATGTAGGCAATTACACTGGGGACTATGCCATATAACTGAGAAGCCAGATTAGAAAAAAAGTGAACTGTAATACTTTTATCGATAATTCTTTTTAAATATTTTATTATGTAATAAAAATATAAACTAAATTAAGCTAATTATGTTTATATCAACGTTTCATTACTTAAATTTATATAATATTTTTTATTTAATTATTAAAACCACATATTGACTAATAATAGTTTACAAGAGTCATTATCATTATTATATAACTTTGACTTATTTTAGAATCCAGAATGGAACTGTATTTTAAATAAAAGAATTTAACAATTTTCCTAATTTCACACAATTTATCTAAAGTTCAAAAACACATCTAATTGAAAACATTAAAAATGCATTGATGAAATCACAAAGTAAAAATCATTTTCTTATGAGAATAATAATATTCTGGTTTTTTTAAACTTTTAAAATTCTATAAAATAATTTAAATTTCTAGAAGATAAGTATACTTATAAGGAAGCTCCTCAAACATAAATCCAATTAAAACTGATTTTCTCAGAAAGAAATTTTTAAGAAGTTTTGTTCCAAGAAAAGCAATTTAAATTGGATAAGTTCATAAATCATCAAAGAAAACAAAAACTGGATTAATTTTTGTCATTCTGTATTTCCAATTCTAGAATGAAACCAAAATCTTGATAACTGCTTAGACTCTAATTATTGTTAAGCCTGGATGAGCAAAGAGAAAGAAGACTGAAAACAGTCTTTTTAACTTTTTAAGAAATAAATGAAATAGTCATGAAAAAGTATATTAAAAAGCTTCTTGTCTGTATTATTAATTAGTTTCTATGACTAATGAACAGGCTTATTACACACCCAGCCTATTTAATTAACTTAACCAAAATGCATTTTGGCCTTACTGGCCCTTATCAATTGAATGACATACAAGAAACAGAATATATGGTGACAATTGATAAGGGTTGGTAAGGCTGAAATGCATTTTGGTTAAGTTAATTAAATAGGCTGGGTGAGTAATAAGCCTGTTCATTAGTCATAGTAACTAAGTAGTTTTTTTGTAGTCATGGAAACCTTTTTAAATTTTCTTTTTTTACTTAAAACTGTTCATCATCTAGATTCAATAAAAAATAAAAAGATATAGAATAGTTCTAGCTACATTGGTTAATCATTAAGAAAACATCAAATAGTACATTTTTAATTTAGTCAATGTAAAATCAATATCTTATAATGTTTTGAGAGATCCTAACTTTATTTTTTTTAATTTGGATTCTTTAAACGGATCTTTATAAAGAAAGTATACAGTTATCGAAATGCATAAACTATAATATCATTCAAATGTTTTTATATCTCCATCAATAAATTCTACTGTATTTACAACAATATTTTTTTTTTAAATAGCAAATCTCTTTACACGATAAACAGAAGATAATAATATTTTTCCGGTAATATTTTCATTATCTTAATTAAGAGAATATAATTATTTATTCTCAATGCTGTACAGTATATATTTTAAGATGATCATTTTTATCAAAGATAAAATAATTTTTGAAACAAATAATGTCTAATCTTCAGATCTGAACACTAAATACATTTCAAATGTTTGAATTATAAATAGAACAAATTGCTAAATATAGGGAATAATGCCTTTTAGGAGGTCTTTTAATTAAGAGCAACTGTCCCCTATTCAGGTGTTACAGACATGGAGAAAACCCGGTAAACTCCATGTGACCAACCTGTCTAGCCAAGGCACAAACCCATGACCAAACTTCCACAGCCGATTGCAGATACAACATTTAGAGACCGGCGGCGGTTTACAGATCAGGTAGACCACTGTTCAGAAAAATATCATTGCAAAGACAGCGTTTCTCATTTGCCACAATGTAAACAGTGATTAGAAACAAGTTATTTGACCTACTTTCTAGACTCACTCAACAGCAGGTTTAGAGGGCTTTTTAATAAGAGTGGTAGCTTTGTTCGTGGAAAAGTTTAGATAAAAATGGATATCATTCCTTTGATAATGTTGTAAACAATACAAATCAACAAAATTATTTATTAATTAATTTCCTGGAGCAAAAATAACAAAATTAAATACTTTAAATTTGTTTTAAATGTTCCAATTTCAATATTCAAAATATTCAAATGGGTGAAGACTTAAAACTACAATTCATTTAAATCAGATGCATTTATTTACAATTTGAGTACCATGTCAGTTATAAAATATTAATGCATTTCAGGGTCATTGTAGTTAATCCCCTGGTCAAAACATTCTGTTAAACAAACGAGATAATTTTAATAATTACCGAAATCTTTTTACAGAAACGAAAAAAATGTAATAGTAATAATAAAATATTTAAAATTATTCATTTTGACAGTTATGAAGGGAGACAGTAATACAATGTCAAAATAATTCCTTAAAAATCTATTCTGAAGATGAATTTCGAATTCGGTATAAATTTTCTAAATATGGATTTGTTCGTATTTTAAACTGTATTGGTGACGAAATTAAATATTGAAATGGAAAAGGATTGTCATTAATTTCCGAACAATCGTTGTTGACGGCCTTAAGATTTTATTTCTGGAAGCTTTCGGAATATAGCTGGCAACCTTTTCTGATGTCACAAATGAATAACCTGACTGGCTGAACGACTCCTAAAACAAAGGAGTAATGGCGAAGAAAGTAAGAGCCAATGTTTTGCCAAAGTTTCTTTAGAGGGCATTCAGAAATAGACAATCATCGTCTTTGCAATGCATTTTAAACCACAGTTCAGCCAGCCAACGTCTATAGGCCTTTCTGTTGATAAACATCGTTTAATGTAAACTCTGTCTCTGTAATCGGCTGCCAGTGTTCAGAGAATAGAACCGCTTGGCCCACCAGTAGCCAAGTGGTTCAGTTCTGAATTTAAATTTCTAATTTAAATCCAGAAAATTGCATATTCTGGATTTAAATTGCTAAACAATTTAAATCCAGAATATTTTACAAACTTTCTGTAAGTTTGATCATTGAGCATGTACATAGCAGACTGTGTCAAAAAACATTTAATCTTTAATAAAAACAGACTTCTTAAAATGAATAGCATACAAGATTAAGAATACATTCATGGAGTCACTCACAAGCACCAATATAATTATGTAAATATAGATAATGAAACAAAGTGAAAACTATTCAGCAATTACTAAAAACTCTTTGTATTTGAAAATCCTATTTTTCTTATTTGCTAAAATATTTTATAGCTAAAACTTTTCCTTTAAATATATATATATATATATATATATTTAAAGGAAAAGTTATATATATAGCTTTTTATATAATCTTTTGAAATAACTATTACTTTATTATTAGACATTTTAAATTGAATTTCTCCTCAAAAATTACTTTAAATTCGTTATTATTATTATAAAATGTAATATACTTATCTTTTGAAAAGTTTAATTGTGTACAATGCAAGGGAAGTAATATACTTTTTAATTGAAATAAGAACTTTACTTAAATATATACAGTATTTCTAACATTAGAATTATGTATAATTTTGATTATGATAACAACTAAAAACAATTTCTTTGTTCAGTTCTCATTAAAATAAATGTTCAATGAAAGCAATATATTGCATTCAAATAAACTATATTATGCAATTTTCCAAAGAAATAATGTAAGCAATGTCATATAATATAATTACATTTATTTGCAGAACTGAGTAACTAAAACAATTAATAATATTGCTTATTTATATTAATAATAATAGTAATAATTAACAATTAATGATGTTGTTTATTAAAAAATTTTCAATGTTTTAATATTTTAATTAAATCTATTATGAAAATTCTATTATCACTTATAATTTTCCTCTTATGGATTTGTTGTTAATGTCTCTGAACTTCCTTATCTTTTCAAAATATCCATTCACAAAAACTTTAATATAACTAAAATTTTTTACATTCTGATTTAGAAATTA